ATGGCCTTTTTTTTTTTGTCTTTTTGAGATTAGGGTCTCCTGCAGCTAGCTGGCCAGAAACTCACTGTGTAGACCAAGCTCGCCTCGGTCTCACAGAGATCCACCTGCCTCCCAAGTGCTGGGATTAAAGGCGTGCGCCACCCCCACCCCCCACCCTCCCTGGCCCTGCACATGGCTTTTTGGCTCGCCTATAGCATTGGAATGGACACCTGGAAAATCCGAGACGCGAACCTTTGTCCTGTGACAGACCCTGTATTTTCTCCCACCGTTTATTTCCATTGTCTCGCTTGGCTGACGCCCTAGGAATCGAAAAATTCAGTCTCGTGTTTCTGGGAGAACATCATTGCGCTACCCTCACTCGGTAGAGCCCGCCCTCCCGCTTGCCCCAAACACTAGCTAATAGGAACCAAGGTCTTCCGACAGGTAGGCGGGATCCTGTAATTGCGAGCGCTAGCTGCCAGTCACACCGCGAGGGCGGGACTTCCTTCCGAACTTGAAGCTGGGCAGGAAGGCCGGGCAAGCGGCTTGAGAGTTGGAAATCCATGTGGCGGGGGCTGAGCGTCCTGGCGTCTCGGACGACGCGGGCTCCAAGCAGGTGGTGCGACTCCGCCGACGCGCTGTCGCCGCACAGGCGCTGCTCTAGGACTCAAACCCGCTCCTGAGGCCCCTGGGGTCCCAGTCCTGCGCTCAGAGCTGCCATCGCTCTCTTCCCAGTCCCAACCTGGCCATCCCCCTGCCGCAGAGCTCACATGGGGTCATCCCCCGGCCGTCATTCCCTGCGTCCACATTCGTCCTGAGACTCCGAGTCCCGGATGCGCTGACTCTTGTCCTCTCCTGTTCCCAGGCTGTGCGTATGCCTGCGCAGCGGTGCCCAGTCCTTGGCCCCCGGGAGCACAGTCTTCGCGCTCAGCTCCGGCCAGGGTCGCTGCGGCATCGCGGTGATCCGCACCAGCGGCCCAGCCAGCGGCCTCGCGCTCCGAAGTCTCACTGCGCCCCGGGAGCCGCCCCCGGCCCGCAGCGCAGCTCTGCGCCTGCTCCGCCACCCGCGCTCAGGGGAGCCTCTGGACCGGGCGCTGGTCCTCTGGTTCCCAGGTGAGGGTCCGCGATTCCGTATCCCACACCACGCATGACCCGGTCTCAGTGCTGTCGGGGAGCCTGCCCGGGCCGTGCCCACCGCCTGACTCTTCTCTTTTGCCACATGAGGTCCCCAGAGTTTCACGGGTGAGGACTGCGTGGAGTTCCACGTGCACGGAGGCCCTGCGGTGGTCAGCGGCGTCCTGGAAGCGCTGGGTGAGTCTCATTATATGAGATTTTTCCTGGGGAGACTGAAAAGTTTAGGGCGCAAGGTGGATTGTCATTTGGATAACAGGTATTAACAGTTACTAACCTGGACTGGCAAGATGGCTCAACTGGTACAGGCGCTTACTGCTAAGCCTTACGAGGAGAGTTCGAATTCCAAGACCCACATAGTGGAACTTGAAAACTGAATTTTACAGTCTAGCTTGGTGGCCCATACCTGTAGTCCCAGCACTTGGGAGGCAGAGACAGGCGGATCTCTGAGTTTGAAGTCAGCCTGGTCTACCTAGTGAGTTCCGGGACAGCTGGGGGCTACAGAGAGACCCTGTCTCAAAAAGAAAAAAAATAAAAAACTGACTTTTGCAAGTTGTCCTCTGACCACCAAACGCATGCCATGCCACACACCAACAGAAGTTATGAACAGGATAAGCAGTCGATGGCAGTGATAGGTCTCTAGGAGAGCTCAGGTCCACATGGCAGGTGAGAGGGAACCCTTTTTACAGGTTTCAGAGGAAGGAGGTTCTATGCCACCTGAGTAGCCCACACAGTACCAGCTTGCAAACTCATTGTCTCTGATGCCTGGATGGGGAGGGGGCGAGTTTGAATTTGGGGGGAAGGAAAGTGTATGTGTGAGGAGGTGGGTGAGGAACGCCCCATCTGACTGTTTCCATTGCCCCTGTGTGCCACAGGTACCCCTTATATCTGGGAGTCTGTACAAAGAGTCTGGAGCTCTCTGTGGGGCTTGCATGCCAGGGCTCAAAGTCTGCTGCACACAGCTGGGCACTCCTCACTTGCACTTTATTCTGCCTTCCTCACTTGGGGAGGGGCCTTTTAAATCCTGTAGGTTTCTGCTTTCCTGAGTCTTTTAGTTTGCTTACTTCCCAGACCCCTCCTCTTGGAGAAGAGACTTTGAATTTGTAGGAGGTTCTGTATCCCAGGCTCAGGCTCAGGCCCAGGCCCAGGCCACTGAGGTGAGTGGGCTTCCCTGCAGGCAGTGTGCCAGGACTTCGAGCTGCTGAGGCAGGGGAGTTCACCAAGCGGGCCTTCGCCCACGGGAAGCTGAGCCTGACAGAAGTAGAGGGGCTAGCAGATCTAATCCATGCAGAAACTGAAGCCCAGAGGCGCCAGGCCCTGAGGCAGCTGGAGGGCGAGCTGGGCCAGCTGGGCCAACACTGGGCTGAGACCCTAACCAAGGTAAAAGCCCTGCCCCCATTGCACATCTCCCTGAATGCCCGTCCCCCCCATCCATCCATCCATCATCTTCTTCTGAGGCCAATCCCCTGGCCTCTGATCTGGTCCCTTAGGTAAAGCTGACCCTGGGATATTAGAGTGGGGACAGTGGAGTCCCAGAGCACCTGACACATCTCCCTCTCCTCTCCAGGCTCTGGCTCATGTGGAGGCCTATATCGACTTTGGAGAGGATGACAATTTAGAAGAAGGTGTCTTAGAGCAAGGTGCAGGCTTGCTTGTGGGGGCATAATGGCTAACATCTAGAGGGCCCGCAGAGACCCTCCTGATACCCTCCTTGCCTTGCCCCACCCACAGCGGATAAAGAAGTGAGGGCCCTGGAGGTCTCCCTCCAGGCACACCTGCGGGATGCCAGGCGCGGGCAGAGGCTCCGCTCAGGGGCACACGTTGTGGTAGCTGGACCCCCTAATGCCGGCAAGAGCAGCCTAGTGAACATGCTCAGTATGTGGGCGGTGGGCAGGGGTGGAGCCTGGACCTGAGGGGTGTAGTCTGGGGTTGGAACTCACACCAGTCCCCTGCTGTTCCCTTCCTCTAGGCCGGAAGCCTGTGTCCATCGTGTCACCAGAACCAGGGACCACCCGCGATGTCCTAGAGACCCCAGTGGACCTGGCCGGGTTCCCTGTGCTGCTGAGTGACACCGCTGGACTGCGTGAAGGCGTGGGGCCAGTGGAGCAGGAGGGTGTGCACAGGGCCCGCCAGAGGTTTGTGCAGGGCAGGGACAAGCTGGCCTGCCTTATCCTGAACTCCTTTAGCTGGGAGGATGTCTAGCAATTTGATTCGGATGCAAGCTTGGCCATTGTCCACCCCCTCCCTTCCTCCACCTTTATGCCACACCCTTTGTTCTGCCACTTCCCCCTTCACTGCTCCACCCTTTCATAGAACCCTGAGCTTCTTTGTCACCTAGTTAGGCCGCACCCACTGCACCCTACCACTCCCTTGCTCACACCCAGTCATGCTGTGTCCCACCTCCCTACCTCACACCTGAACTGAACTATGCCTCACCCATTGGAATAAGCTCCTTCCCTCCTGCTGCCCCCTCTCTTCTCTGGGCCACACCCCTCCCCAGGTGCCAGGCCCTCACCACTGCCCCCCCCAGGCTGGAGCAAGCTGACATCATCCTGGCATTGCTGGACGCCTCCGACCTGGGCTCCTCCTCCAGCTGCGACTTCCTGGATACTGTGGTGGTCCCCCTGGCAGCCCAGCGCCCAGATGATGGCCAGCGGCTCCTTCTGGTGCTGAACAAATCGGACCTGCTGCCCCCCGAGGGCAGGGTCCCCAGCCCTGGCCTACCCCCACACCTTCTGCTGTCCTGCCTGACTGGAGCTGGGCTGGATGACCTCCTGAAGGCTCTGAGGACTCAGCTGGCTGCAGTGTGAGTCCCCCTGACACCACTGTGGCCTGTGACCCGAGTTCAGGTGCAGGCCCATCCCAGGCCTGTCCCTTGGCCTGTCTCTACAGGAGTGAGTGGGCCCAGAGCAGGCTGAAAGAGACTTGGGTCTTATCTCTGGCAGGTGTGGGGATCCATCCATAGGCCCTCCACTCTTGACCCGGGCCCGGCACCAGCACCACCTCCAGGCCTGCCTGGATGCCCTTAGCCAGTACCAGCCGGCTTCAGACCTGGCCCTGGCGGCAGAGGCCCTACGAGTTGCTCGAAGGCACCTGAGCCACCTCACCGGGGGAGGGGGCACTGAAGAGATCCTGGACCTCATCTTCCGGGACTTCTGTGTGGGCAAATGAGGGGCCCAGAGCCCCGTGGACTTCTCAGAAGAGATGGATACGAAATGGCAGGACTGGGCCTGCAGAGGGCAGGAGCGCCCCAGGGCTGGAGCAGCCAGCCGGGCCTGTGCACTGGGTAGGAGCCCAGTCCCAGGCTGGGCACCACCCCTCTGCTGGCTTACAGACCTGCACCACCATGCCACGTATGTGCCGCTGCAGATGGAACCCAGGGATCGAGCATGTGAGGAGCAGAGCCCCATACCCAGCGCCTCACCTGGAGATTCTAGGCAGAGCTCAGCCAGGCTCCTGACTTCATAGTTTTTGTTTTCCAAATACCAAAGCAGTGTGAAGAGTTTGGGAAACCAAGAAATGTTTGTGCATTAAGAAACTGCTTTACCTTCAAGAAATTTCTCTACGTATTCCCATCCTATGGCTGCATCTGGTAGCCAAATATATTTATTTAAGTTTTGTACTGGCTTTTTTACAGTTATATACAGTGGCTCTGTTAGGACATTTTCATTCATGTATATAGGGGATGTATGCCAGTTGCCTACTGCATATCTGGCACCAAGAACCAAAGTGAGCCTGGGAAGCTGTGGTGCCAGGGGACTTACTGCACCCAGCCTGCTCCAGGAGGCCGAGGCAGAGGCTGCTCTTTCTGCTCATTTCCATGGTGATCCCTGGGCCATGGAGGGGGTAGCATGGATGTCCCATTGGATGTCCCATTTAGAGCTGAGCATTGATGCCTACTTTCCCTAGTTTGACCAATTGTGCACCTGCAGTCAGCTGCCCACTGTAGAAAGAGGCTCCTGATCCTGGCCCAGGCAGTCCACAGTGACCTCCAAGCTCACCACTTAGCCGAAGCCTACCTTAAACTCCTGAACCTCTGCCACAGCCTCCTGAGCCTGGGAGGGCAGGCCTGTGCCACCATACCTGGCCTCACAGGATATTCTTTTATTTAGTCATTGAGAGGTGGGGGATGTTTGCATGTACACATATGGACAACTTCCAGGAGTCATTTCTCTCTTTCCACCATGTAGGTTTTTGTGTGTTCTATATGTGTGTGCTATATGTGTTTGGGTGCCTGTGGAGGCCAGAAAAGGGTATCAGATTCCTTGGAGCTAGAATTACAGGAGGTTGTGAGTCACCATGTAGTGCTGGGAACTGAACTCAGGTGCCCCAGCAGAGTAGCAAGCCCCCTTTTTTTTTTTGGTCTTTTTGAGACAGGGAACTCCCTGTAGCCCTAGCTAGCCTGGAACTCACAGAGATCCGCCAGCCTCTGCCTCCTGAGTGCTGGGATTAAAGGTGTGCACCACCACGCCACTGTGAGTTCAAGGCCAGCTTGGTCTACAAAGTGAGTTCCAGGACAGCTGGGGCTACAGGGAGACCCTGCTCAAAAAGACCAAAATAAATAAATAAGGAATAAATAAATAAATGAAAAAAGAAAGGCTGGGAGCATGAGGTAGGGGGATAACACCAGCAGAGGGTGCTCTTCCTAACATAGCACCCGGCTGTCCCCCCAGGCTGTGTCTTAAACTTAGTCTCTGTAGGCGTGTCACCCCAGCCTTGTTCCAAGTCACCCTAAGTGACACGGCAAGACCCTATCTCAAAAAAAAATTAAAAAAACAAAAGGGTCCTAGGGCTCCCAGGAGAGCATGGGGTGCCTTAGGCTGGGCGGGGCCCAGGACTCTGGGCGGTGTGCCCAGCCCCAACGCCACTGCCTGCAGTTCAGGGTCCTGGCACATAGCTGGATGGAGGTCCTTGGCCACAGTCCCTTTTTTCCAAGAAGCCTGAGGAGTTTGTGGGAAGCTGTGTGGGGGATTATTTATAGAGGACGCAGGAAATCCCCGAAGAGTCGGGGCCTCACCCAGCGGAGGCAGCTGTGCCCCGGAGACCTGCCGATGGCCCTGATGGGTACCCAGCCCCCCTGATGCCCCAGGCTGCCCTAGGACGCTAGCCCAGGGCCTGGGACAGGAGGAGTGTCAACAGAGAGCTGGGAGAAGGGAAGGATGAGGCTGAGGTAAAGAGCAAGGATTGTTCTGTGGCATCAAGGATGGCTGCCTGGAGAGGGATCTAAGCAGAAAGCAGCCAAAATATGACCCCAGCCCTGTAATGAATGAATGTGTATGTGTACCCACAGAGACCAGAGGATGTCAGGTGTCCTACTGTATCACTCTTTGCCTTATTTCTTTGAGAAATAAGCTAACCTGAAGCTAGGCTGGCCATCAGCAAATCCCAGCCGCCCTGCCTCCATCCCCTCAGTGCTGGGTTTAGAGGGAGGGTGTCACACAGTTTTTTTATGTGGGTGCTGTAATTCAAATCTGGGTCCTTATGCTTAGAGCAGCAAGTCCTCTTACCCACAAAGCCGACCTCTCCAGCATGGTTTTCATTTATTTTGCAAATACTGATCTCAGAAGAATTTTACCAGGCAAGGAAAAGTATAGCCAGGCATGTTGAAACAGGGCTTCACTGTGTAGCCGTGGCTGGCCTGGAACTGGGTATGTAGACCAAGCTGGCTCCTATCTCACAGAGATCCACCTGCTTTTGCCTCCTGAGTCCTGAGATTAAAGGCATGCACCACCACACCTAGCAGGAGGCAAGTTTTCTTTTGCCAGGACGGGGGTGGCGGGGGTGGGATGCTTTTGAGACAGTCTCCCTGTAGCTCCAGTCTGGAGGGGCTGGAACTTACTGTGTAGACCAGTCTGGCCTCATTTTCACAGAGATCCACTTACCTCTGCCTCCTAAACAGTGGGATTAAGGGCATATGCTACCACGCCTAGCATGGGATAGATTTTAAAGAGCTGAGCCAAGGTAGGATTGTGGGATCTATGTAGATATTACGGGATGTTGGAGATGCAGAATCCTGTGAAGGGTCATCAACCTGGGCCTCTGTGTCTGGACACAGTGTTAATGTGCTGGGCGTGGGGGCCCACGCCTTTAATCCCACCATTTGGGAGGCAGAGGCAGGCGGATCTCTGTGAGTTTGAGACCAGCCTGGTCTACATAATGAGTTCCTGGACAGCTGGGGCTATAGGGAGACCCTGTCTCAAAAAGACCAAAAAAAAAAGTGTTAATGTAGTTCTTAGAGGTAAGTAGGGTCTTGCTGTGTGGCCCAGGCAGGCCTGGAACTCCTGGGCTCAGGTAATCCTCCTGCCTCAGCCTCCCAAGCAGCTGTAATTACAGATTCCAGACACTGTGCCCAGATTTAAGCCTGCCTTGGAAGAGAAGATAGAGGCTGAGTTGAGCTAGATACACGTGAGGGTAGCACCCAAGTCTTGTGGCTGAGATCCTCAGTCACAGCGTCATCCACAGGGCTCCAGGTTCAGGCTCAGGGCCAGGGACGTCCTCACTTCCTTGGGGCCTCCAGCCCAACCGTCTGGGCAGCCTCCCTAGCTGACCCCGGTGGCCCTGTTGGCGGGGGCCCCAGCCGAGTGTTTCCTGCAGTGACAGGCTCTCGCCCGTGTTTCCGCATCCAGGAAATATCGCTCCTTTGTCCCCGTGGATCTGACCAGCCAAGTGTGGCCTGCCAGCCCCTGTATGATTCATTCCCTCCTCCTGCCAGCCACAGGACCAGCAGGAGGGGAGGCTGACTGTCTAGAAGCAGTTGTGTGCCTGTTTTTCCCTCGATGGCTCCTGGCGTGTTTCCTGGAGTTCTTGGGAATAAAATCCCAGGAATAGGCTTGCCCAGTTAGGGAATCTGTACCAAATCTGCACCTACAGTCTGTTCTTCGTTTTGTTTTGTTTTTTGAAGTAAGGTCTCTCTATGTAGCCCAGGCTGATTCTCCTTGTGCTTGTAATCCTCCTGCCTCAGTCTCCCCAGTACTAGTATTATGGTATTTATTTGCTTATTTTTGGTGTTTGAAACGGTCCAGGTAGCCCAGGCTAGCCCTGAACTCCTGCTCCTTATCTTCCTGCTCCACTTTCCCAGTGCTGGGATAACAACTATGGGCTACCACACTTGGTTTATGGGGTGTGGTGATGGAGCTTGGAGCGTCATACATGCTAAGCAAGCACTTTACCCACTGAGCTGCAGTGCCGGGCTAACAGGCATGCACCTCCACAGCCAGCGGTCTATTCATTGACTTTCCCAGCGTGGTGGGCCCTGCACAATCCTCTGTATTCACTGAACTCAACTGATCTTGGCTGTTTCCCCACTGAGTGACATCACAGTGCACTCAGACTAGATATGGGTGCGCTCCCCTACGTGGGCTCTGGCAGCACTGCCTTGTAGAGGCAGCAGGATGGTAGGGAGTTCAAAGCCTTCCTGGGCTACACAGCAAGACCCTGTCTATAACTAAATATATAAATCAATAGAAACCAGTCTTTGAAGGAATTTTGCTGTGTTTATTATGTGCCACTAATATTTTTAAGGGCCTCAAGCTGGGCTAGGTGGGCAAGTGTCTCTCCAAGGCTTTGTGCAGCTCACTCAACCCTCACCCATGGACTGGCTCTTCCTTGCAAGGGGTGGGGCCTGGAACCCTGAGGAGGGCTTCAAAATCCTAGGGGGCGGGGCTGGAAACTGTCAAGGGAGACCTGGAAGCACTCCAAGGCTTCAGGGGAGCTGAAACCTTCAGGGCAACTCTCAAAGAAGAGCCTGGAAATTCTCCGTGGAGCTGGAGACCAATGGCTTCCTGCTGGCAAGTCAGGCCAGGCCTGGGAGATAAGATACTGAAGGAGGCCAGTGACATAGCAACTGGGGCGTTGTGTGGACAGGGGACCCTATGGGTGCCTTGGCCTGTGTGCTCAGTGGGAGTATGACTGCTATAGCTGCGTGTGACATCACCCCCGATCCACCCCCGTGTCAGGCCAGGGGACCACGGGGTTCGGGTATGGGTTGGTGAGAGTATCAGAGTTGAGGTGTGAGGGCCAGAGGTCACCGGCCACATCCCTGGGCTCAGGGACAGCATGGTGTCCAGCAAGGTGGGCTTCTCGCTGCCAAGCATCCACAGTTAAGGGAGTCAGGCGCCCAGGGTCCTCCAGCTGCAGCCTCTTCAGCCACTGGGAGGGAAGAAGTAGAGAACACATCCAGTGAGAGGGACAGGCAGAGGGACCTAAAGGCTAGTCCCTGCTGGGTCACCAAGGCCTGAGAACTGACTCTGCCTCCCTCCAAGGTCACTCCTGGCTCCTGGGACCCCACAGCAACTTTAGGGTTCAGCCTCCATGTTAGACCTCACTTTAGCCTTCCTGAAATTTGTCTCTGCTGTACAAAGAGATGGACTGAGAGAGGCCTCTTCCAGAGCCCCAAAGACCCCAAGGTTCCAGGGATTCTGACAGCTTGCTCTAAAGCCCACCTACCCCAACACCCCCTACAAGGGTCCCTGAGACCCAAGCTGGGCTGGCTTCAAATTCATAGTCCTACCTCAGCTTCCTAAGTGATGGGATTGTGGCATCTCCTTTATTTGTTCTCCAGCTTTCAAATGAATCTACCCACCTGACCTGACTGGCCCTCTGTGGCTCTCCAGTAGTCTCAGGACCAACCGAGCTCACAACCTGAAACTATGGGCAGTCAGCTAACTGTGGTCACCTCCCCATTCTCCTCCTCTCCTCTCCACAGGGACACCAGCTCCACCTAAGAGTCCCAACAATTCCAAGAGGCTCCAGGCACTTCCACCCACCCTCTACCCCCACCCCATGTCCCACAGGAGCCCAGCATCCCACCAACCCGACGACCCGAAGTCTGGAATGTTTCATTCCTAGGCTGGCAGAGGCCCTCATTCGGGGTCAGTGGTTGGTGCTAAGGCTGTTTCCTGGTGGGGGAGGAGGGGGCTGCAGCCAAGTCCGGCTTCCTCTCCCCTCCCTTCCTTCCCCAGCTCTTCCCTGGGGCCCCTTGGCCTCAAGTTCTGGCTGGCTCCAGTTCCCTCCCCGACTCCTTCTTCTCTGACCCTACTAGGCCTGCCCGGTGTCCCCGCCACGACACGGGTTGCGTCCCCAAATCGCCAACAATCAATTCCCCCGATTGCCCCATTCCGCCTCTCCCACCTCCATGGGCACAGACCTGTGGCCTTTGTATGGTCTGTGCCATCTGCCAGGCAGACACACTGTGAAATGTCAGTTCCTCTGAGAACCAGTCCCAGCCCCGATGGAAGATTCCAAATTCCCTCAACCCCCTTTATTGTAGCTTTTGTGTCCTTCTAGAATGTCATAATACTAGTACTGGGGAATAATAATAAAATCATGGGAAGGTGAGAGGTGGCTCAACAGGGTGCCTGCTGCCAAGTCTGGCCTGAGTTTGATCCCCAGGTCGCATATGGTGGAAGAAGACGGACTCATTAAAGTTGTCCTTTGACACCCATGTGCACACTGTGGCATGTGCATACACAGTTTCAATTAATCGATGTAAAAAATTTTTTTTAATTCATGGGTTGGCTGAAGAGATGGCTCAGCAGTTGAGAGCACTGGCTGCTCTTGCAGAGGACCCGGGTTCGGTTCTCAGGACCCACACGGCAGCTAACAGCCTTCTGTAACTCCAGTTCTAGGGGATCCCATGCCCTCTCCAAGAGCACCAGACATGCATATGGTGCACCTGTATACGTGGAGGCTGGCGTTCATACACATAAAATTAAATTAATTAAATATTTTAAAATTAATAAAATAGCCAGTCGCACGCCTTTAATCCCAGCATTTGGGAAGTGGAGGCAGGCAGATCTCTGTCAGATCAAAGCCAGCCTGGTCAAGTTCTAGGCCAGCTAGGGCTACAGGATGACTGTGTCTCTAATTTTAATTAAATTAATTTAAATTAAAACTTTTTACATGTTTTTGGTCTTTTTGAGATAGGACCTCCATGTAGCCCCAGCTGGCCTGGAACTCCCTATGTAGAACTCACTCTGTAGGTGTCACACACCTTTAATCCCAGCTCAAGAGGTAGAGGCCGGCAATCTCTATGAGATCAATGCCAGCCTGGTCTACATAGCCAAGTTCCAGGAGATTCTGTCTCAAAAGACTAAAAAAATAAGTAAATAAACAAACAAACAGTTCAGCAGCCCTGTCAGTTTTCTTGTCTGGTGACACTCTTTTTTCCAATCTTTTCATTATTATTATGGTAACAAAGTCTCACTATGTAACCCAGGATTGCCTGGAACTCACCTCTGCCTCTGGAGTGTTGGGATTAAAAGTATACGTCACCACCTTGGTCCAGATAAGTCTCAGGGTGACAGGCCACTGGACAGCTAGTGTGGCGTGGATGAGTGGCACAGGGAGGGGACACTGAGCTCTGGAGCCAGGGACAGAGGCAGGAAAGCACTCTGTGCACATCTCCCGGAGGAGACTGCTGGTGAGCAACCAGGCAACTACTCAGCCTGCACCTGGGGATCTGTAATGGGGTGTCCCAGGCCCGAGCAGGTCTTATCTGGAGCTCTCCAGACCTTTCTTCAGCCTGTGTCACTCTACCTCTAAACCCCACAGCCTAAGTAAGATGGCAGAGGGGTGTGCTGCATGCCTGTCACTCTAGCACTCAGGAGGTAGAGGCAGGAAGATCAGGAGTTCAACACCAGCCTCAGCTACCTAGTGAGTTTGAGGCCAGCCTAGGCTACAAAAGACCATGTCTTAAAAAAACAAAACAGGTGGGGCATGGTGGCGCACGCCTTCAATCTCAGCACTCAGGAGGCAGAGGCAGAGGGATCTCTGTGAGTTCAAGGCCAGCCTGGTCTACATAGTGAGTTCCAGGACAGCTGGGGCTACAGGGAGACCCTGTCTCAAAAGACCAAAAAAGTAAAAAATAAAAAAATGCAAGAGCAGGCTAGAATAGTGTGACCCGCAGTTTAATTTCATCTAAAAAACATTGTGGGCCAGTGAAATGGTTCAGTGGGTAAAGGCGCTTGCTGCCAAGCCTGACAACCTGAATTTGATCCCCAGGACCCACATGTGAAAGGAGAGAACTGACTCCTGCAAGTTGTCCCCTGGCCTCCACACACATACCATGGACCATGGACCTAAAGATACACATATAGATAAATCTACTAAAATGATTTAAATTTTAAAAAGAAAGATGGTTTTGATTGGTAGCAGTTGCATCTGGGTTCCTCTTGCTTCTGACTTGTTCTGTCAGCCTCAATAATACGTTAAAAAATATGCTGGGCTGAGGAGATGGCTCAGAGAGTAACAGCATTGCATAAGCATGAGGACCTAAGTTTGAATCCCAGCACCCACGTCAAAAACCAGGTGTGTGCACTAGTGCCTGTGACCCTGGGGCAGGGGGTTGGGGGAGGCAGGAAGATGGCTGGGACTCACTGGTGGCCACTTGGCTCCAGGTTCAGGGAGACCCTGTCCCAGGGAATAAGGGGAAGAAGAATAGAGCAGGACACCATGGCCCCCTCTGGCCTCTGTGTGTTCATGGGTATGTGCCCACACATGCATCCACACAAGAAATTTGGATGTTGAAATTTAAAAGTTGGATCTTGCTGGGTGTGGTGGCCATACATCTTTAGTCCCAGCATTCTGGAGGCAGAGGCAGGTGGATCTCTGTGAGAACAAGGCCAGCCTGGTCTACATAGTGAGTTCCAAGACAGCTGGGGCTAAAGGGAGACCCTGTCTCAAACAAACAAAACAAATAAATAATAAAAAATAAAAGTCGGATGTTAGGGCACACCTGTCATCCCAGGATATGGGAGGCTGAGGCAGAAGGATTTTGAGTTTGAGACCATGAAGGTTACATAGGCTATGTAGCCAGACCTTGTCTCAACAAGAAAAGAGAAAAAAGGCTAGAGATGGAAATGTGGCTCAGCTGTAGAGACCTGGCCTAGCAAGTGCCAAGTGCGCCATTCCAACAGCACCAAAAAAAGGGTGAGGGGGGAGAGGAGGGAGAGAAGGGGGAGGGAGAGAAACAAAGCCATACACAGACAGATGTTATGACAGGAGGCCCAGTGAGAGGTCCTGGCCAGCCCTCCAGCCCCTCTCTCGGGAGGCCCTTCCTGGCACCCTGAAGGTCGACACAAGGGGCCTGGGCTCCAGCAGCATTGTTTCCTCGGTGGGGACGTCATTCAGGGTAAACAATGTCAAGAGCTTCCCCGGTCCAAAGCTGAGGCCAGACAGTCCTGGGCTGGGAGCCTCAGTTTCCTCCTCTGAGAAGTGGGACTAAGAATAGAGCCTCTTCCGTGCCAAAGTAGCGGGGAGGGGTGTTTGCTTGCAGGGAGGCAGGGCCCACTATTTCCCCCTCCCTGTTCATTTATTTTTTAATACTTTTTTCTTTTTCCTTCTTTCTTTTAGAAAAGGAAAAAAAAAAAAGAAGAGCTATATTTCTTCCTTCGTTTCAAAAACAGACTTCACTATGAAGCACAGGCTAGCCTTGAACTTGCAATCCTCCCTCCTCAGCCTCCCAAGCCAGCAACTCCTTCCCATCTCACCTTCAGAAAGAACCATCTAGATAGAGAGGACTGAGGCAGAGGGCTACGGTGAGGGGTGAGCTCCCCAGTAGAATTTGCACCCAAGAAGACACAGCCTCAGAAGGTAGAGGCAGGAGGATCTGGAGTTGGAGGGTAGTCTGGGTTGTAGAAGAGAGACCATGTCTCAAAAAAAAAAAAAAAATCAATCAACAGGTAGAGGGCCATGATGGATGCAGGTCAGAAACCACAGGCAGAGGTACAGTCTTGGAATTTGACTTGAAATCTTGCCCTTGAGCTTCGGGGCCTAAACTCCTAATGACAATGAAATTCCTTGGGAGCTCAGGCTAGCCCAAAACACAGGTCCGGGAGTCCTAACTGGGTCACCCAGGTGGTGGGTCCTGAATGGGAGTGGCAGGGCCTGTGGGGAACACAGGGCGTCCAGCCTGAGTCACCTTCCTGGTGATGCATACACTATCTCCAATGCATGACCAGGCCTGGGGCAAGGTAAGGGGGTGTAGGCACAAGGCCAGGACCTGAACACATGCCAGATGCCCTCCGTGTGCTCTGAGAATGGCCCTGGTCCCTTACTGTGGCTGTGGGCTTGCTTTGTAGCCAAGACTGACCTAAAAGTCCATCCTCCTGCCTTAGTCGTGCAACAACTCTGCCTGAGACATTTTTTTCTTTTGAGTGTTTTGAGACAGGGGCTCACTATGTAGCGCTGACCTGACTGTCCTGGAACTTGCTATGCAGATTAGACTGACCTCAATCCTACAGAGATACACATACCTCTGTCTCCTGAGTGCTGGGATCAAAGTCATGGCCACCATGCCTGGCTATTATTGTTTTAATTTTTTAATCATATTTACTTAACTATGGACATTGGGAGCATGCTACATGCCACAGCACACATGTGGAGGTTAGAGGTGTCGGTTCTTTCCTTCCACGTGTGAGACCTGGGATTGAACTCATGTGGTCAGGCTTGGTAGCAAGCTCCTTTACCTGCTGAGCCATCTCACCGGCCCTACCTCCATTTTTGTAAATGTAAAAACTGAAGCTTAGGGGCCTCCAACATCCTCTTCTGAGTGGAAGGAGAGAACGGACTCCTGTAAGTTGTCCTCTGACTTCCCTAAGACTAGGCTACACGTGTGCACGCACACATACACAGCGACGGTCAGAGATGACCCTCAGCAGCCACCCATCTCACACCTTCCCCCACCCAGTTTAGCCTCTGAGCCTTCGCATTAACTGTTCCAGTCACTCAGGACACCATTCCCTTTGCTTTCCCTGGCTGGCTCCTCTCTATCCTCCAGTTCACCAGTGTCCCCCGATCCCCCCGACCCAATGCCAGCCTCAGGCGTCTGGAGTTGCCCAGCCCTGCTACTGCCCAGCATACAGCAGGCACTCCTCTGCAGACAGAAATGTGCTCCCTCTCACACCTACCCACCCAGTGCAGATCCCAGCCTTCTTCACCCACAAGCCCTGAGATGGCTCCAGCCTGCTTGGCGGCTCACCTGGGTGGGACTGCAGGGTTGACTAAAGTGGACCGATAGGACTCCAGGATTTTCTTCTTGAATTCCTCCAGGCCGGCAGGGTCTGCAAAGAAATGAAGGCTCCCACGTGACAGATTGTCCCAGGCTAGCCCAGGAGAGCGGCACTGGGGTCCTTAGTGCCCTGCTTCCCCTCTTCCCCACTCTTCCCCTCTTTCACTCACCAAATGAAGGTGTTTGGGGACCCGGTACTAAGGGTTTTGGTAGGACCACTGGCGGCGGTGACTACGGAAAGAAGGGAGTGAGGTTAGCCAGACCTAGAGTGAGCCCCTTCCTCACTGTGCTGTAGGTTTTTGAGTTTCCCTGTAGCCCCAGCTGGCCTGGAGCTTGCGAAGTAGACCAGGCTGGCCTCAGTCTCACAGAGATCCATCTGCCTCTGCTTCCCAGTGCCCATGTCCACAGTGGTCCACATCCCAACACCCTACCCAGCCAGGGGGCCAACATTCCCATAAGCCAAGGTCAAAATCAGTGTCATTACAACAGAATTTCAAATCAAGACTCCAGTTCTGGCCAAGCCTGGTGGGCACACCTTAATCCCAGCACTCGGAAGGCAGAGTCAGGTGGATCTCTGTGAGATTGAGACCAGCATGGTCTACCTAGCAAGTTCCAGGCCAGCTGGGGCTACAGAGAGACCCTATCTAAAAACACAACCCAATACAAACCCCAAAACCAAACCATTCCTTTCATAAACCTTCCTGATGGTGCTTGCCTGTCATCCCTGTGCTCCGGAAGCTGAGGCAGGATTGCTGTTTGTTCAAGGCGAGCCTGGACTATATAGAAAGTTCCAGGCCAGTTGAGGCTACAGGGAGACCCTGTGTCAAACAAATGAATGAACAAAGAAAGACTGTAGTTTCACACCACCACCAACCCAGCAGCTCTGATCCGAACTCAAAGTGAAGTCCAGGCTGGCACCACCCTCCTGCACCTTGGCCTTGACGCAGGTGTCCAGCGCAGAAATTCGAGCCTCTACCTCTATCTTCAGCTGCTCTACTTGGCGCTTCTTGCTGTCCAGCTCCTGGGCCAGGCCGTCCCGATCCTTGCGCAGTGCCGCCTTCTCCTCCAGTGCCAGCTGCGTCTGTTTCTGGCACTGGGCCTGCAGGCTGGTCTGGCTGTCCGAAGCCTCCTTGGCAGCTTTCTCCCGGGCCACCTGGCAGGTGCTCAGACCCTGCTGGGCCTCGAACTTCTGCCGCTTCAGGTCTGCGTTCTCCTGGGCCACGCGCTCAATGCCGCTGCGCAGACTGCGGGCCAGGTCCTCCACCTTGCTGGTCATCAGGCTGGGCATGTGGTCGCAGGTCCTGCGGAGGGAGGCCACGTCGGTCCCCAGCGGGTGGTAGGAGTAGGCCAGGGCGTCCAGGGCGCGAGGGATGATGGAGTCCCGCCATAGGTTGCGAGCGTCCATCTCAAACTTGTCCTTATCCAGCTGGAGGCACAGGGCCTGCACCTTGCTCAGCTGCTCCTCTGCCACCTGCTTCTCCTGCCGGTAATGCTCCTGCGCCTTCCCACAGGCCACCAGCTGCTCCTCCGCCAGGCGCTTGCCGGTTAGCAGGCCCTCCTTGTCCTTCGCGCACACGGCCTTCTCCTTGATCACCTCCATCTCCAGTGTCTTGGCTTTCTCTCCCAGCTTGAAGAGCAGAGCTGTGGAGGGCAGACGTCGGGTGGGTAAGCTGAGACTAGCCCCGGGAACTAAGGCTAGCCCCTTGTGCCCTACTGTGGAGCTCACCTTCGCAGGTTTTATTGGTCTCCTTCAGCTGTTCCTGACATCGCTGCTCACTTATGATGATGGCAACCAGGTACTGCTCCTTGAGGGCGGAGGTCATCTGCCAGTGGGGACACAGTACCGCTCAGCACTCTCCTGCCAGGCATGCTCACACAGCCTAGGGGAGATCCTGACAGCTTTGGGGGCATGTTGATCTGAGTGATCTCCAAAAGTTTTTCTAGAGCTGGGGCTGTGTGGGTAGAGTGCCTGTAGCTCAGTGGACAGAGTGCTTGTAGCTCAGTGGACAGAGTGCTTGTAGCTCAGTGGGCAGAGTGCTTTGTAGCTCAGTGGGCAGAGTGCTTGTCACTCAGTGGACAGAGTGCTTATAGCTCAGTGGGCAGAGTGCTTGTACCTCAGTGGACAGAGTGCTTGTCACTCAGTTGGCAGAGTGCTTATAGCTCAGTGGGCAGAGTGCTTGTAGCTCAATGGGAAGAGTGCTTGTCGCTCAGTGGGCAGAGTGCTTGTAGCTCAGTGGGCAGAGTACTCGTAGCTCAGTAAAGTGCTTGCAGTTCAGTGGGTAGAATGTTTGTACCTCAGTCGGTAAACTGCTTACTACTCGGGGGGTAGAGTGTGAAGGCGAGTGTGGTGGTGCACATCTGTTACCCCAACCCTAGGGAAGCTGAGGTAGGAAGATCACCACAATTTCAAGGGTAGCCTGAATGACACAGTAAATTTCAGGCCAGCCTGGGCTATATAGCAAGACCTTATCACAAAAACAAACAAAAAGAGAAGAGAGGAGAGTTAAGATAGAAAAATCCAGTTCTCAGCACCACCATGGGGGCTCCTGTCTACCACGGCAAGCTGTTTGCTGAGGAGTTCCAGTGTCCTGAGACAGGGTCTTATGTATCCCAGACTGGCCTCAAACTCTCTATGAAGCTGAGGGTGACTTTGAACTTTGATCCTCCTGCCTCCACCTCTTCGGTGTTGAGATGACATGTTGTGAACCACCATGTCTAGTTTATGTGGTGCTGCAGATGGAACCCAGGGCTTCCTGCACACAGGCAAGCACTCGACCAACTGAGTTACAAACACTCCAACTCAGCTACAAGCTCTCTACCAATGGAGCTACATCCCAGCCCAAGTTCAAGTCTTTAGACTCTGGGCTGCAGTGAACTCAGTGCACACTTTGCCTGGGAGAGGCTGGAGCCTCAGCAGCAGTAAATTAATTAAATGAAATTGAAAACCAGAATTGTGGCTCCCTATGTTCTCTGATGAGGGAATCCGGGAAACAGGTACATGTGAGTAGGTCACTAATGACCCGTAATACCTGGAAAGCTCTGCAGGCCACTCACATGAACTATGTAGCCCAAGGAAGGGCTTGGGAACTTCAGGGGACACACTCTGTTAAGTAAGTCTGAGGGAGGTGGCCAGTCCTGTCTTGGAGTCTGAGGGAGGAGACTGTCCCAGGATGCTCTGGGGCCCTGTCCCTTCTGTGTAATGGAGAGCTGGTGGCCCTGGGGCCCTTGGTCACCCCTACACACTACTATTGAGCCCTGGAAGCCCCAGGCCCCCAAATTAGCTTCAAGTTATCTCGGGGTGAGCAGGACACACAGAGAACAGGGGACACTGTGAGGAGTGTTCAACATGCTGTGGGTGCATGGGGTCAAAAGCTCAACAGCATCTCAGCTCCATGACGACCCAGTACCCACAGGTAGTGTGTGGTCCCTGGGAAAGCTCCCCCAGGGCCTGTCACCCAGGAAAGGGCTGGAAACTGCCCTGCAAAATGATCTTCATTTCCTTCTTTTTGTTTTTTGAGACAGGGTCTCTTATAGCCCAGGCTGATCTCCATCTCACAGAGATCCTTCTGTTTCTGCCTCCCAAGTGCTGGGATTAAAGACTGTGCCACCAGATCTGACTAGGGAAGACCTTGTTCTATATAATCTCAAAACAGCATGCGCCTGTTGTAAGAAACAACCAGTGTGCTGAGAAGGTGATTTGGTTTCTTGGTTTATTTTTAACATTTTTTTAATATTCTTTTTTTTAATTTTTATTTATTATTTTTATTTATTTTTTATTTTTTGTCTTTTTGAGACAGGGTCTCCCTGTAGCCCCAGCTGTCCTGGAACTCACTATGTAGACCAGGTTGGCCTTGAACTCACAGAGATCCGCCTGCCTCTGCCTCCCAACTGCTGGGACTACAGGCATGTGTCACCACGCCCGGCTTATTATTTTTATTTTTATATGTATGCATGTATTGCCTGCAGGTAAGTAAGCGCATACGTGTCATGCAATGCCCGTGGAGGTCAGAAGAGGCTGTTGGATCCCCTGGGACTGGAGTTACGGACAGTTGTTAGCTGCCATGTGGGTGCTGGGTTCAAACCTGGGTCTTCTGCAAGAACAACCAGTATTCTGAGCCATCTCTCCAGCCCCTTTGTTTTTTAACATTTATTTTTGTGTGTGGCCTCTATGCAGTCAGAGGACAACTTGTTGGAGTCCTTCCACCATGTTGGTCCCAGGTTGGAACTCAGGTCTCGGGCTTGGTGGCCAGCACCTTTACCTGCTGAGTCATCTCACGGGCCTGTTTTCACGGGCCTGATCTCGTGATCAGCCAGGAACATTCAAATTCAATGGACCGACACTGAGGTCCACTCTTGAGAGCAGAGCACTCCAGAGACTCCGCCTTTCAATATACTCACTGGGGGAAATTTGGGGGGCACATGGGTACTTAACTTTGTCTATCTGAAATTCAAGTTTAGCTAGACATCCTGGGTGTTCACAGGCAACTCTGAACCCGTGACCCACCAGAAAGTGCCTGCTCCAGGCCCACGCCACCCTGTGAGCACTCAGAGCAGCTACAAACAGCCACTAGACTAGATGGAAAGTTCTATCTGAAATTCAAGTTTAGCTAGACATCCTGGGTGTTCACAGGCAACTCTGAACCCATGACCCACCAGAAAGTGCCTGCTCCAGGCCCACCCCCACCCTGTGAGCACTCAT